ATCTAAATGTACAACTTTCCATAAAATAAGAGTAGAAAAATGTCTAATAGCATTTTAAAAAAGATAGTTTCATGGAGAAACCTAACAAGTATTTAAGAAACAGATAATTCCAGTAATTTTTAAGTTTTTAAAGAGTATTTAAAAAGAAGGAAAACATCCATTTTTTTTTTCAAAACAGATATTACAGTGATTATAAATCCTGCCAGGACTGCATTATAAAAATCAGATCAGACACTAATATTACATAGTGTGTATGGTAGGTGTCCCAAAATGATTTTTGAATGAGTTAAAATATCAACTTCAAGAAGGCTGAAATGAGATAACATAGTTGACTTCAAGCATTTGAAGGGTTTCCGCATGAAAGACACTTGTTCTCTTTACTTCATTAGGTAGTATTAGGATCATTAATGGCTAGAGTTGTTCAGATTTAGACAACTACCTCATGAAGCACTGACCTTTCCTTGTTTCTTTTTGTAGCACTAGGGATGGAACTCAGGACCTTGAGCATGCTAGGCAAGTAATCTATTACAGAGCTATATGCCCAGCCCCTTCTTGCTCTATAATAATTTAAAGCAGAATATGAACATATTGTAGGATGCTATAAAAATATTGTGGAATTGAGTTTTCAAATGATTTTTAGGCTGTAATCCTTACAGGATTTTATTATGGTTTGATCTCCATTGTCCTTAAAAGGTGTCATATACTGAAGGCTTGGTCCCAGCTGATGGCACTACTTCCAGGAGGTGGACCCTGTAGGAGGTAGGGCCTAGTTGAAGGAAATGAAGTCATTGGGTTTGTGCCCTTGAAGGTTATACTTGGACCCAACTCCAACCCTTCCCTTTCTCTCTCTTTCCTGACAGCCATGAAGTGAGCAGTTTTGTTCTACTACATTCTCTTTGCCATGATATTCTGTCTTGCCACAAGCCCCAAACAACAGATCCAAGCCACCATGGGCTGAAACCAAGCTGAAACAAATCTTTCCTCCTTTTAAGGTGATTTTCTCAGAAAATCTGATTAATGCCAAATGTCTTCTTTGATAAAATGAGAGCAACTAAGAACAGAGCAGGGAGGAAGAGCAGGAGGAAAAGATTAACATTGAACAGAGACATGAGGTGGGAGGGAAAGGGAGAGAAAAGGGAAATTGCATGGAAATGGAAGGAAAGCCTCATTGTTATACAAAATTACATGTAAGAGGTTGTGAGGGGAAAGGGAAAAAAAACAAGGGAGAGAATTAAATTATAGCAGATGGGGTAGAGAGAGAAGATGGGAGGGGAGGGGAGGGGGGATAGTAGAGGATAGGAAAGGTAGCAGAATACAACAGTTACTAATAGGGCATTATGTATAAATGTGGATGTGTAACCAATGTGATTCTGCAATGTGTATACGGGGTAAAAATGGGAGTTCATAACCCACTTGAATCTAAAGTATGAAATATGATATGTCAAGAGCTATGTCATGTTTTGAACAACCAATAAAAAAATAAAAAATAAATAAAATAAAATAATAAAAGAGGAAACTCTTCCTGCCTAACCATCTCGGGGGAAAAAAAAAAACAAACATAGATTCTAAAGAGTCACTTCAGAACTAGGAGAGGGGTGAAGGTAAAGGAATAGAAAAGCTAATCAAATAAATTTTTAATTCCCCATTTTTCCTCTGTAATAATGTTTTTGACATTCTGGGGTTTCGGCTACAATATAGCATGAATAAAGAGTCTTTTAGGGCTGAGGATGTGGCTCAAGCGGTAGCACGCTGGCCTGGCATGCAAGGGGCACTGGGTTCGATCCTCAGCACCACATACAAATAAAACAAAGATGTTGTGTACACCAAAAACTAAAAGATAAATATTAAAAATTTCTCTTTCTCTTTCTCTCTCTCTCTTTAAAAAAAATAAACAAGAGTCTTTTACATTCAGATTTGATGAGGACATACATAGCATGTGTGCTTGCTCTCTCTCGTGCTCTCTCCTCCACTCTCTCTCTCCCTGTGCACACACATACTCACACATTGCTTGCTTCAACCTTGGGCAGTAACAGCTATGTCTCTGCTCCACACCTCCCATGGTGGTGCCACTCCCAACCCCTAAGGGGAGAAAAGGGTGCGACTGCAGGGTGGCACGCCTGTCCCAGAAATACTGTGAGACTCCAGACCCAGAGGGCAGAGGCAGAAGCAACAGGGCTGGATCAGAGTCCCTGAGTCTTCCAATTGTCCAAGTCCACTCTGGCCTGGAGGATACTGGAGGTTGGCCGCTGCCGGGTGCAAGGGATGTGTCAGAATTGATTTGGGGGAGACTGGAGGGGCCTAGCAGGACACTGCTCAGCCCCAGGTGGAGATTTCTCTTATTCTGTGCTCTTGCCCTTGTCTGGGACCATTCTCATTGGACTGCACCAGGGCCACAGTGTGCATGCCCTGGAGGGAAAGGGAGGGCAGGCCAGAAAAGCATCCCAGGTGTGAGAGAGTGGCACATGGGTTAAAATCCTAGTGCAGGCTATCGAAGGCTCAGGGTCCTTCGTTTCTTTGGGCTCTAGGATTTAATGCTGTCCCTACCAAGTACCCAGGCTGTGCCAGTAGGGCAGAGAATTGCCACAGCCACCTCCAACAGCATTCTTGGGTTTCCATGCCTGTGGGGCTCCTCTACTTCCAGTGACTATGAGAGCAGATGAGATTTGGGGGAGAAATAGTGCCTTAAACTAAGTCAAACTGCAAATGTGTTTCATTTCAAGGAAATGGGAAGGAAGAAGCAGGGCTGCTGCCAGGGGCCTCTGCACTGGAGCCCTGTGAAAGAGCAGGGGCAGCATCCATCTGGGTTCACAGGTGCAGGGTGAGGGTCTGCGCAGACACTTTGTGTCCTAGGGGAGGTGGCAGGAGTATCTTCAAGGCAGCTTGGGGCTGGCTGGATAAACCGAGGCCAGTCTGGGAGGCCAGGAGCCCATCTTCTGGCATCACCATCCACAGCCTTGTTAGGCAGATATTGTTTTGGAATCCTTGAAGCTGTCTTAGGACAGGACATCTGCTGATGAGGGTTTGTTTGTCCTGATTCCGTGTTGCCCCCTGTGAGTGGCCTCCTGTGCCTGAATGTCAGCTTCCAAACACTGGGATTCATTGGGCTGTGGGGACTTCCTGGCTGCTGGGCCGGTGACGCGGTTGCAGAGCAGAGGGTATACTACCCTGGGATGCTCAGGCCTTCTATCTGCACATGGAGCCTGGGTTGGACCACCAGGAGGGGATCCTACAACCACCTCCATCCCCTACCTCCCACAGAGGGAGCTGCCAGGCCTCCCATAATCTCCCTGGTTGGGATTCAGGAGTGGGCCACCTATTAAGTTTTGAGGCTGTGGAGGTAGGCAGCAGATGTCCTCCATAGTTAGGGACTCTGTTCCATGCTTTCCTAAGGAGGACCTGATTCAGCTGCATGTCCTCTGTGGGCTCCTGGGCCCTCGCAACAGTAAAAGCCAGTTTCCCAAGTGGAGAAGAGCCAAGATGAGGTTTTGCATTTCTGCTAAAGAGGAGAAGCTGATTGCTTCTCCTGGACAGTTGCAGGTGACATTGAGTAATATGTATCCCCCTACATATTTGGGGATAGGTCCTTTGTCCCTAAGGTAATGCTGAGGTGGGTGAAGCTGTCCTAGTGCAGCAGACACAGTCAGGATAACCAATACATCTTATGTTGGACACTATTGGGTGGAGGAGCCATAATTCCAACCTTGGAATGTTCCTGCTTTGGTTTCTGAAACAGTTGGCAAGGACACCTGGCACACACTGAATCTTGTCCTGGATCCTGCAGAAGTTGCTATGTGTAACATGGAGTCACTTTGAGTAACCCATGGTAGCCTAAATCTTGGCTAGTCACCACCTGTGGCAAGTGACAGAACTGCCACCTACATAGATGAGACAAGTCAAGACTGGTGTCCCTGTCTATCACTCCCCACAGCATGCAGTGAGGTTTGAGGGGGTACCACATCCTGGAAGGACTTTAGGGCTGTCAAGGTACACAAGGACACTCGAGGACAGCTCCTGACAGCTCTCACAGAATCTGAGGAAAGTCACTCTAGAAGCGAGGCTACCTTTGGCCGAACCCTTACTGGCTATGAGAAGCTGACCATGGAGCTTGCTGGCTGTGAGGAGCTGACCATGGGGCTTGCTGGCCTAAGGTTGGGGTAGCAGGTAGAAGCTGGCAGACCACCATCCCTCCAGAAAGGCAGTAGGCAGTGACCTCTGTGCTTTGGGTCTAGGCACACATTGTTCCTGAAGCAGTTGAATAAAGAAAGAAATGGAAAACTATGCAAAGGCCAGGGCCTGAGGCAGCTGGTTGGTTGCCCCAAGCTGATATGGCACAGCCGGCCCCCAGCCTGTGGTTTTGGAGAGCATTTGGGCTATGGGGCATCGAACACATGCTGGCCAAGCTCCAAGTGGCCTCATGGGTTAAGTGAAGTTGCTAATGATCTAGGTTTGCACATGAGGTTTCCAGAAAGGTTATAAGTGCTAAGTCATGCTTTAAATGCAAATTGTGTTGATGATTTTAAATACTCTCATGCAGACACTGAAGTGGCATGCTTATAATTCAGCATTCCAGGGGTAGACCAACCTGCCATTCTTGGGGGAATCACGATTCCCTGTTGAGAAGGAGCAGGCCTCCAGCACTGCTGTGGCCAGGCTCAGCAGCCTGATGTTTCTTTGGCCCTGCACCATGTTGATTTCACTCTGGGCACAGCCAGGCTGATGGTGTCTGGAGAAGACAGCCAATGACAGATAGAAAACCAACATTGTGTCTGTCTTTGGACACTGTGTCAACGAGACTCTGGCTGTTTGTTTATGTGACACAGTTCTCGTGTGATTGATTTCTTTTCTCCTTTCTTTGTGAGACACCTCAGAACTTGGGCAAAACTGCTGGGCCTTATTAGGACCCCAGAAAAGTGTTTTGACTGGAAGTCGAGGTTCCCTGATGAGTGATTTCTCTCTCCCATCTCTCAGGGTTGCTGTAGGTCCTTCTCACTCCCCCTACTATGGATTTGCATCTCTTTGACTACACAGAGCCAGGAAACTTCTCTGACATGAGCTGGCCATGCAACAGCAGCTACTGCATCCTGATCGACACAGTGCAATGCCCCACCATGCCCCACAAAAGCATCCTGCTCTACACACTTTCCTTTATTTACATTTTCATCTTCGTGATTGGCATGATTGCCAACCCTGTGGTGGTCTGGGTGAACATCCAGGCCAAGACCACAGGCTATGACACCCACTGCTACATCTTGAACCTTGCCATCACAGACCTGTGGGTGGTCATCACCATCCCCGTCTGGGTGGTCAGCCTGGTGCAGGACAACCAGTGGCACATGGGCGAGCTTACCTGCAGGGTCATGCACCTCGTCTTCTCTGTCAACCTCTTTGGCAGCACCTTCTTCCTCACATGCATGAGCATGGACTGCTACCTCTCCATCACCTACTTCACCAGCACCTCCAGCCGCAGGAAGAAGATGGTGCACCACATCGTGTGCGTTCTGGTGTGGCTGCTGGCCTTGTGCATGTCTCTGCCCAGCACCTACTACCTGAAGTCCGTGGTGTCTGCTTCCAACAACGAGACCTACTGCTGGTCGTTCTACCCTGAGCACAGCATCAAGGAGTGGCTGATCAGCATGGAGCTTGTCTCTGTTGTCTTGGGCTTCATTGTCCCCTTCTCCATCATCACTGTCTTCTACTTCCTGCTCTCCAGGGCCATCTCAGCCTCTGGTGATCAGGAGAATGAGAGTATCCGGAAGATCATCTTTTCCTATGTGGTGGTCTTCCTTGTGTGCTGGCTCCCCTACCACGTGGCAGTGCTGCTGGACATCTTCTCCATCCTGCACTACCTCCCCTTCACCTGCCAGCTGGAGAACACGCTCTTCACAGCACTACATGTCACACAGTGCCTGTCCCTGGTGCACTGCTGCGTCAATCCTGTGCTCTACAGCTTCATCAACCACAAGTACAGGTACAAGCGGATGAAGGCCTTCACCTTCCAGTATTCTACCCAAACGGGCCTCACCCAGCTCACCAACACCACCAGAGTGTCAGAGACAGAGTACTTGGTGCTGGAACAAAACTCCAAATGACTTGCTGTGCAGAGGCCACGTCATGGAGCTTGTGAACATGGCTTATGGTCTTCATAAGAGAGCAAGGGAGCTTTGGGTCTTGATGCCCAAGTGACATGAAGAGGAGAAGGCGTGGCATTGTGCATCTTCCTCTCTGTCCAGTTCTGTGTGTCAAAGTCAGCTTCAGAAAACAATTGACTGGACATCTATACAATAGAACCTTCTGTTTTTCCTG